GGTCCGTTTGAAACCCATTCTCTTTCAATTTTTTTTCTAATGCAAAGTGAACAGTCGTGGGACCCAGTACCTTTTCTGTCATTTGTCTGATGAATTTGTTCCCTAACCCAGTACAAGAAGTGACCTTTCTGTCCGTTAACAATTTTTTATTCCAAAATTGCCCTTCGAAATTAAATATTTCCGTGTACAATTTGAGGGCATAAGCGGACGGAAGATTCAACGGAATAATTCATTTATTGTATTTCTGACACACTTTATTGAATTTGGTGAGATTTGTCTGATGAAACTGTAGGAAAATGAATTTTTCACCCAGAAAAAGGGGCTCAAACGGGGGCTAAAATAAAGAAGAGGGACGCGAGATTAAATTTGTCAATTGTCTTATCCAGTTTCTAGTACAGCATCCTTATCATGCATTAAGTTGCACACAAGGCACGCCATTGAAAAGTGGAACAGACTTTCAAGGTTTTGAGTTTACTTCCAACTTTCTCAATCTATCCTGACTGAAGGGAGTTTAGGTTATCATTTACAAAAGCAATTTTGGTTGGGCATGGCTTAGTTCTCACACTTGATCCAATTTTGTAGCCAAACTTAGCAAAACAACTTACGTTACTTATAAGAAATTTTAAGCTTAGCCATACAAGCTACAATTTTATATAATATGCTTGACTAGGCACGATCGAGGAAGAAAAACATATGGCAAAGTCTATTAGCTGTCTAGTTAAGTCACGTCCAATCTAACATATCAAACATACAAATTCACAATCCAGATTTCACAAATGAGACTAGAAAATGAAGCTTTATCTGAGTGGCCATCTTTAAAGATAGATTGATTCATTGTTCACCTAGTAATACATGAAATAAGATGATTTTACAAACATAATCGACGGAGACAGGCATATAACTCAACTAGTAATGAGTTTGACTACAATCTGTTACTCAAATTTTGACAGAAAACTTCAAATGAAGTCATTGCATTCCACAAAAGACCAAGCAGTTAGAGATCTAACTCATATCTTCTTCGTCTTGGAAGCTCAAATTCAATGTTTGTAACTTGAAGCCTGACCCTTGTATAATTTCGACCAAACTTGAAGCCACCCCTGTAGCTTGTACGGTTGTTTGCTTTCTTAACTATACAACATAGAAAGAGATCGTCAACTTACTATTGTGATACTGATTATGAATTAAAGAAAATAGATTTTGTTCTACGCTACAAAATAATCTTCACGGTCCAGTTCTTATGCCCAGCTGTTACTGTCTCTCTTTGATACCAGAAGCTCGTAAACAGGAAAGAAATAACAAAATTACATAATTTTCTAGAACCATGCTTGGATAAGCTGAAATGTAACTTTTTGTTTCTTAAAAAAAATTATTTATTTTAAGAAAAACTTATTTACTTTTAAGCTTAACATTTTAAGCTTAGCCAAACATGCTCCTAAGAAGTTTACCAAATTATCACAATATTCTCTAAGGGCCTGTTTGGTACAGATTCTCATTTTCTACAGTAAATCAATTCTCATTTTCAACCACACATTCTTCAATAAAATAATATTTTCCATCACATCAATACTTTTTTCTTCTTTTCCAACCACATATTTCCCATCCTATTACTATTCAAAATTCAATTTTTTCCCT